CCCGGGCCATCTGCTCCTTCTCGACGTCGCCCGAGAGCTTCGCCTCCTTGGCCGCGAGCTTCTCCTTGAACTTGCCGACGAGCTCCTCCTTGACGGCGGCCTCGCCGCGCGCGACCTTGGCCTCGAGGTCGGCGACCTGCGCCGCGAACGCGGCGGCCGCGTCCTTGTGGGCCTCGGCCTCCTTGAGCCGCTCGTAGTCGACGGCCTTGGTGGCCTCGCCGTGCGCCGCGGCGGCGTCGGCGAGCGCGGCGGCCGCGGCCTCGGCGGCCGCCGCGGCCTCGGCGTCGCGCGCCTCGGTCAGCGCGGCCACGGCCCGGTCGTGCGCCTCGCGCAGCGCCGCGCTCGTCGCTTCCTCGACCTCGGCGGCCTTGGCGTCGACGGCCGCCGCCAAAGCCTCGGCGCCCGCGGCGCGCTCCGCGGCGACGGCGTCGGCGAGCGCGGCGTCGGCCTTGTCCGCGTCGGCCTGCTTGGCCTTGGCGAGCTTGTCCTTGAGCTTCGCGATGAGCTCCTCGCGCACCGCGGCCTCGCGCGTCTCCTCGGCGGCGGCGACGGCCGCCGCGAGCGCGTCCGCGTGCGCCGCCGCCAGCTCGCGCTTCCGCGCCTCGACGGCCGCGGCGACCGTCGCCTCCGTCGCCCCCTCGAGCTCGGCGACGCGCGCCGCCGCCGCCGCGGCCTCGCCGCGCGCGGCCGCGAGCTCCGCCGCGGCGGCGTCGCGGGCCTCGGCGGCCGCGGCGGCGACGCGGTCCTCGAGCTCCTGCTCCGCGGCCTCGAGCGCGCGGTCGCGGCCCGCGACGGCGGCCTCGAGGGCCTTGAGCTGGTCGCCGACCTCCGCGGACGCCTTCGCCGCGGCGTCCGCGCGCGCCTTCGCGAGCTTGTCCTTGAACTTGGCGATGAGCTCGCCGCGGACCGCGGCCTCCTTGGCGGCCTCGGCCTCGGCGACGGCCGCTTGGAGCGCCGCGCCGCCGTCGCCCGCCGCGCGCGTCGCGGCCGCGGCCTCGGCGGCCCCGAGGCGCGTCGCGGCCTCGGACGCGGCCGCCTCGGCCGCGCCGAGGCGCTCCGCGAGCGCGGCCTTCGCCGCCTCCGCCGCCTCCAGCTGCTTCATGGCGTTGTCGAAGGCCCGCAGGCTGTCCTTCTTCCGGTAGTGGCGGTCCTTGTCGCTCTCCTCCTTGTCGGCCTCGAGCGCGGCGACCTTCTCGACGAGCGCGGCCTCCTTGGCCGCGAACGACGCACCGAGCGCCTCCTCCTTCGCCTTGAGCTTCTCCTTGAGCTTGACGACGAGCGCGGCCTTGATCTTCTTCTCCAGCGCCTCGACGTCGGGCGGCTCCGGGGCCGCCGCGGCCTCGAGCGCGGCCGCGCGCTCCGCGCCCCGCGCCTCCAACGCGGCCGCGTGCTCCGCCCGCTGCGCCTCCAGCGCGGCGTCGCGGTCCGCCGCCGCGGCCTCGAGGGCCGCGGCGTGCTCCGCGGCCTGGGCCTCGAGCGCCGCGGCGCCGCCGCCGCGGAGCGCGTCGGCGTCGCCCGCGGCGGCGGCGGCCGCCGCGACGGCGGTCTCGAGCTCGGCCTTGGCCGCGGCGTGGTCGCGCTTCGCGTCGGCGACGCCCTGCTCGAGGACGCCGACGACCTCGTCCTTGGCCGCGGCCGCGGCGACGAGCTTCGTGATCTCGTCGTGCGCGGCCGCCCGGAGCTCCTCCTCGCGCTCGCGCGCGGCGGCCTTGACGGCCTCGAGCTCCTCCGCGGCGGCGTCGGCCGTGTCGCTGAGCTCCTTGAGGTGGGCGATGCGCGCGTCCTCGCCGCCCGCGGCGCGCTCGAGCTCCGCGCGCTCGAGCTCCGCGGTCAATTTCGCGACCGCGGCCTCGGCCGCGTCCGCGCGCGCGGCGGCCGCGGCGTCGCCGCCGCCGGCCGCGCGGAGCTGCTCGACCTCGGCCCGCAGGCCCTCCTCGACCTCGGCGTGCGCCGCGCGCAGCGCGTCGACGTGGCTCTCGAGCGCGCGGCCGCCCTCGTCGGCGCGCTTCGACGCGTCCCGCAGCTTCTTGAGCGCCGCGGCCTCGGCGCGGCGCGCGTCCGCGGCGGACTGCTCGAGCTCGCGGATGCGCGCCTTGAGCAGCGCCGCCGCCTCCCGGTCGAGGGCCACGCTCCCGGCGAGCGACGGCGGCGACGCCACGGGCGCCTCCATGGGCAAGTGCTCCTCGCCGGGGAGCGCGCGCTCCTCAAAGTCCTCGCCCGCGGACCGCGGGGACTGGTCGCGGCTCTTCGACTCGTCGGGCTTGTTCTTCTTGTTGCGCGGGCGGCGCTTCCGGCCGCCGCCGCCGCCCGAGCCGCTCTTCTTGTTGTTATCGGCGGACATGCCACCAACTGGTGTCGCGCGAGGCCAGGCGCGCCGAGGGGCGCGCGCGAGGCCTCACGCGGCCCGGGCCGACAGCGGCCGCGCGCGAAGTGGCGCGCGCGGGCTGACGGCATCGGCGATGCACCCCCTCGCCACGCACGTGCTCTTACGCCGAGGGCCGCGTCATCATGAGGGCGGAGCGGAGGCAGGAGGCGACGAGGTGGCCGTGCTGGTTGAAGCCCTCGTGCTTGAACTGGACGACGCCCTGGTGCGGCCGCTTCTTCGACGGCCGGTTCGAGACGACCGTCGTCCGCGCGGAGAGCGTGTCGCCGTGGAACATGGGCTTCGGGAAGGTGACGTCGTCGAAGCCGAGGTTCGCGACCGTTGTGCCGTGCGTCGTCTCGTGGACGGAGATGCCGACGAGGAGGCTCAGCGTGAACATGGAGTTCACGAGGGGCCGGCCGAACTCCGTCTTCGCCGCCGCGTCGTGGTCGAGGTGGAGCTGCGCCGGGTTCAGCGACAGCGTCGTCGCGAGCACGTTGTCCGTCTCCGTCACCGTGCGCGTGAGCGCGTGCTCGACGACGCGGCCGACGGCTAGGTCCTCGAGGTAGAGGCCGCGCACGGGCCGCGGCGCGGCCTCGGGCGCCGCGGCGCCGCCCGCGGCGTCGATGGCCGCGGCGCGGTCCAGCAGCCGCCGCGCGGCGAGGAGGTGGGGCCGGTCGACCATGGCCCCATCCACGAGCGCCGCGCCGGCCTCGCCGTCGCCGAGGGCCGCGACGACCCTCGCGGCGCGCGCGCGCGCCGCCGCCGGCACCGCAAAGGCCGCGTGCGTCGGCGCGAGCTGGTCCGGGTGCAGGCACATCTTCCCGTCGAAGCCCATGGCCGCGGCGTCGCCGGCCTCGTTTCGGAGGCCCGCGGCGTCGCGGACGTCCGTGTAGACGCCGTCGAGCGCCTGGACGCCCGCGGCCCTGCACGCGAGGAGCGTGCTGATCCGCAAATGCTCGAAGAGCGGCGCGTAGCTCTTCACGCCGTCGGTCTCGACGTACTTGCGCGTGCTGCCGAGCTCCACGGCGATGTCCTCGGCGCCCCAGGTCGCGGCGACGACGCGCGGGCCCGCGGCGATGGCCGGGAGGTTCAGCGCGCCCGCGGGCACCTCCGTCGCGATGGCGACGACGCCGACGCCCTCGCCCGCGGCCCTGCCCGCGTTGGCCTCGCACGCGCGCACGAGGGCGTCGAAGCCCTCGAGGCACGCCGCGGACGCGACCTTGGGCACCATGAGCGCGTCCGGCCACGCGCCCTCGCCCAACACCGCCGCGAGGTCCTCGATCGCGGCGGCGCCGTTGACGCGGACGACGACCTCCTTCCCGCCGACGTCGGGCCGCGACGCGAGCCAGGCGCCGACGGCGCGCCGCGCGTCGTCCTTGTCGCGCGCCGCGACGCTGTCCTCGAGGTCGAGGATGATCGAGTCCGCCGACGACGCGAGGGCCTTGGGCAGGAACTTGTCCATGCGCCCGGCGGGCACGAAGAGGCTGCTGCGCCGCAGGCGCGCGCGGCCGCGCGCGACGGCGGAGAAGGACCGGCGCATTGTGGAGATGCTGGTGGGCCTGAGGCGTGCAATTTCGGCGGCCATGCTCGCTCTCTCTCAGAATTACCACAGCATCACAAGCCGATCGTGCTTTGGACAAGGCCGGCTTAATTAATTAAGGAGCCTCTCAGAGAGCACCGCCGATTGAATCGCATCGCAGCCACAACCTTCCGTGTCGTCGGAGGTGGTGTTCGCGTCGGAAACTCCGCGAGGCCGTCGCCCTTACTATCTCGCCGCGGTCGAGCCGCACGCGCGCGGGAAAAACACGCGACACCGCCGTCGGCGAGTCCACACCTTGAAGCGAGGATGGTGCGCGCGCGGACGGAGAGCACGCTGTCCGTCGTGAGCGAGGCGTCGACGGTGTCCGTGCCGTCGGCGCGGGAGCGGTCCCTGAGCAACCTCTTCGGCGGCGGCGCCGAGGAGGAGGACGTCGACCAGGCGCCGCTCAAGCCGCTCAAGGCGCCCGCGGCCGACGCGACGACGTGGGACGCGCGCGACGTCCGGGTCGCCATGATCGGCAACGTCGACAGCGGCAAGTCGACGCTCATCGGCGTCCTCACGGCCGGCGGCCTCGACGACGGCCGCGGCGGCGCGCGGAGCCTCGTGCTGCGCCACAAGCACGAGCAGGAGAACGGGCGGACGTCGACGGTGTCCGTCGAGCTCATGGGCTTCCAGGGCGAGCGGCAGGTGCTGCCGACGGCGCGGCAGCACGCCCAGCGCTGGAAGGAGGTCGTCGACGCCTGCGACCGCAACGTGAGCTTGATCGATCTGTGCGGCCACGAGCGCTACCTGAAGACGACGGTCTTTGGTTTGACGGCGATGCTCCCCGACTTCGCTTTGCTGGTCGTCGGCGCGAACATGGGCGTGCAGCGCATGACGCGCGAGCACATCTCCATCGCCGTCGCGCTGAGCCTGCCCATCGCCGTCGTCGTCACCAAGGTCGACATCTGCCCGCCGGACGTGTTGAAGCAGACGCGGCAGACGCTCGCTAGATGCTTGCGCCATCACGGCCGCATGCCCATGCCCGTCAAGGAGCGCGACCAGCTCGCCAACGCGGCGGAGTCCGCGGGCGCCGGCCGCGTCGCGCCGGTGTTTGCGGTATCGTCGGTCAAGGGCGACGGGCTCGACCTCCTCAAGGGGTTCCTCGGGCTCCTCGAGCGCGCGCCGCGGCCGATCCCTGTGTGCAAATCAACCAGTGAGCTGGGACGTCGGGGCCAAACTTGAGAATTCTCTAGCTCGGTCAAATCGAAGTCGATTCGGCTGATTTTTGGACGAATCGATTGCTCTCAGCGAGTTCTCGAAGCACGGCGTGCTCGTCAAAACATTCGAATACGCGCACATTGAAGTCGGGCTGAAGATTTGATTTGCACACAGGCCGATCCTCAACCGGTCCGCGTTCTTCCGCGACGTCGAGCCGCCGAGCACGGGGCCCGACGCCCACCCGAAGACGCACCTCTGCATCGACGGCGTCTACGAGGTGCGGGGCGTGGGCCTCATCGTCGGAGGCACGCTCACGCGCGGCGCGATCGCCGTCGGCGACGCGCTCTGGCTCGGGCCGGACCGCGCGGGCGCGTTCGTGTTCGTGCGGCATTCAACCCGACTTCAACAGGCGCGCATGCGACCGTTTCGACGCGAGGTTTCCTGCTGTGCTTCGAGAACTCGATGAGAGCAATCGATTCGTCCAAAAATCAGCCGAATCGACTTCGATTTGACCGAGATAGAGAGTTCTGAAGTTTGGTGGGGACCCCCCGAGACGCAGGTTCGTGTCCGTGTCCGTCAAGTCCATCGAGTGCAAGCGCCAGCCCATCGATGCCATCAAGCCCGGCGTCAACGCGACGCTGGCCCTGCGGGCCCTCCACCGCAAGGCGCCGCCGCTGCGCCGCGCGTACTACCGCAAGGGCATGGTGCTCCTCGGCGCGTCGGACGCGCCGCGCGCGTCGCGCCGCTTCTCCGCGGACGTCGTCATCCTCCACCACTCGACCACCGTCCAGGAGGGCTACCAGCCCGTCGTCCACTGCGGCGTCGTCCGCCAGGCCTGCGCGCTCCTCAACATCTGCAACAAGGAGAACCTGCTCCGCACGGGCGCGAAGGCGCGCGTCACGTTCCGCTTCATGTACCACACGGAGTACCTCCTCGTCGGCGCCACCTTCCTCTTCCGCGAGGGCCGCGCCAAGGGCATCGGCAAGATCACCCACCTCCTCGACGACGCCGACGCGCCGCCGGACGCGGCGCCGCCGCCGCCGACGAAGCCGCCCCAACCAAAGTCGCCGCCGGGCAGCCCGGCGAAGCCCCAACCAAAGGCTTGATCTGAGATCACCCCCTAGAAGCCCCTTAGAACGTCAGGACGTCCTCGTCGGGGGGCGGCGCCGCTGCCTCCTCCTCTTCCTCGGGGAGCTCCTCGACGAACTCGTCGTCGTCCTCCTCCTCGACGTCCTCGACGACCTCGTCGTCGTCGTCCTCCGCGACCCACGCCACGTCCTCGTCGAAGAGGCCCGCGTTGATCGTCGCCCAGAGGTCGCCGCGGCCCTGCTTCGTCACGGCGGAGAAGATGAGCGGCTCGCGGCCGAAGAAGTCGTCGAGGCCCTCGAGCCGCGCGACGAGCTCTCGCGAGCTCTTGAGCTTGTCGATCTTCGTCGCGACCAACACGACGCGCAGGCCGCGCTTCGCGACCTCGGCTAAAAGCGCCCGGTCGTCGGCGTTGGGCTCGCGGCGCGCGTCGACGATGAAGACGAGCACCCGCAAAGCGGCGCGCTCGTCCAAGTAGCGCTCGATGAACGCTCCGATCGCCGCCTGGGCAGGACAAGAGTGATTCAACGTCGCTTCAACGTGAGTGTTCCGCGCGCGCGCGTTCCGAAAAAAACATCCACGCTTCGAGACCGTTCCGAGAGATGATCGATCAGCCGAAACGAGTGGAAAACGGCCGAGATCGGAGCCTTTGAAGTTGGGAATTTCGCTCTCTTGTCCTGCCCTGATGGCCGCCTGCTCGTCGTCGGAGAGCCTCGCGAAGCCGTAGCCCGGCAGGTCGACGAGCGTGCAGGCGGCGCCGCGCGCGTCCGTGACCTCGAAGGCGTTCAGGCGCCGCGTGCGGCCGGGCGTCTTCGACGCGACGGCGACGTCCTTCCGCGCGCCGACGAGCGCGTTCAAGAGCGACGACTTGCCGACGTTGCTCCTCCCGAGGAAGGCGACCTCGGGCCGCGGCGTCGCGGGCATGTCACCGGGCGCGTCGTAGCCCCCGAGGAAGGCCGCGCGCAGCTCGCCGGCCGTCGCGAGCGCGCCCTTGGCGTTTTTTTTCGCCTTCGGCGGCGGTTTCGGCGCGGGCGGCGTTCGCCGCCTTTGCGGCGTCGGCCGTTTTGGGGGCGGCGGCTTCGCGAGCGGCTCCTGCTTGCCGCTCAGTTTCGCCTTCCGCCGCGCCTTGCTCGCGCTCCGCTTCGCCTGGAGCTGCTCGTAGGCCTCGGCGGCGAGCCGCTCCTCGCGGTCGGCGAAGCCGTCGTTGTTGTTTCGCTTTTTCTTCGTCCGACCGCCGAAGCAGGCGGTCGGTCGTCGCAGCGGCGCGTTCGGGACGAAGGCGTCGTACGGCAGCAGCAACGCCGCGAGAATCGCCCAGTGCAAGGCGGCCATCGTGCCGTGTTTCCTGTGGCAAACAGCGACCACAATCGGCAAGGCCGCCCTCCACAGCTGTGCACAGCCCGTACCTCAAAGACGCGATGGGCCGCCACGCGTGGCTTTTCTGCGCCGTCGCGACGCGCGCGGGCCTCCTGGAGCTCGGCGGGCAGCTGGGCCTCGAGCTGCTGGAGCGCGAGGGCGCCGAGTCGCCCTGGGCCGGCGTCAACATGCGCGACGCCGACGGCAAGGCCTTCGTCTGCCGGTCCGGGTCGCCCGCGGCCCGGGAGCCGGAGCCCGGGCCCAAGACGTTGTCCGAGGCCCTGGGCCAGCTCGACGGGTCCTGCGCCTACCTCAACCAGGGCTGGTGGACCTACGAGTGGTGCCACCGGCGCCACGTGCGCCAGTTCCACCTCGAGGCGCAGGCGCGGAGCCCCGAGTGGAGCCTCGGCGACTACACGCGGACGGAGCTCGAGGACGACGACGGCGGCGCCGCGAGCTCCGTGGACGCCGCGGGCTCCGAGGCCCTCTCGCGCGCCGTCGACGTCTTCGACGTCGGCGGCCAGCGCTGCGACGAGACGGGCACGGGCCGGTCGTCGACGGTCCACTTCCGCTGCTGCGACGGCCCGAAGCCCGGCAAGGCGACCAAGGGCAAGCGGAAGCGCGCCGCCGGCGCCGAGGCCTTCATCACGAGCGTCGACGAGGTCGCGCTCTGCTCCTACGCGTTCGCCGTCTGCTCCCCGAGCCTCTGCTCGCCGTCCTCGCCGAACGCGACGGCGTCGCTGCTCCTCAAGGCCCTCGAGGGCGTCTGCCTCCAGCGCCACGAGGGCTGGTGGTCCTTCGAGTTCTGCTACAAGAAGGGCGCGCGCCAGTTCCACGCGCGTCTCCCCCGCGTCGAAACGACCCCCCCCCCGCGGCCCCCGAGCTTTTCGGGGTCGCCCAGGTCGACGGCATGGGCCTCGGGCTCGGCGTCGCGGGCCTGGGCCTCGAGGCGGAAACGACCACGGTCCCCCAGGTCGAGACGCGCGACAACGGCGAGGGCCGGAAGCTCGCGCACGTCGCCGCGGAGTTCAGCCTTGGCGACGCGGCGCCGGACGCGGGCCGCCGCGCGCGCCCGCGCCCTTTCTCGCGGCATCGCGCGGCGCACCCGCCCGCTCGTAGGCGCCGAGGACGACGCGGCGCTCGTCGTCGAACGCGGCGCGGACGGCTGGGACAAGGCGCGCGTCGAGGTCGAGTACGAGCGCGGCACGCCCTGCGACATCGGCGAGGACGACGACAGCGGCGAGAAGCGGCGCCGGGGCACGACGGCGCGCCTCGTCTGCGGCGACACGAACGCGCTCGTGTCCGTCGTCGAGGACCGGACGTGCCACTACGTCTTCACGGTGACGACGCCCGCGCTCTGCAAGCACGCGGCCTTCGCGACGGCGCCGAACACGCGGCCCGTGACCTGCGAGGCCGCGCCCGACGACGAATCCTAACTCGGCTTTTTACTTCTGGGACCGCGTCGAGTCCGTCGCGACGCGCTTCGCCACCGCGGCCTTCCACGCGGCCTCGTAGCGCGCGAAGTCGCGCTCGAGGTAGACGCAGAGCTCCACGGTCGCGTGGGCCGCGTAGTCCGCGAAGACGTCCTTCTCGGCCTTGGCGCCGACCATCTTCGACGACGCGAAGCACGCGGCCATTGCGTCTAACAGCGCCTCCGCGGTGATCGCGGGCATGTCGCCGAGCAGGGGCCCCGCGAAGATGCCCGCGGACACGGGCACGAGGCGCAGCGTCGACGGCCCGGACTTGGCCGTCTCCATGAGGAGCCGCTCGTAGAGCTTGGCCAGGAGGTCGCGCGCGATCTCCGGCGACAGCGCCAGATCGCCGAGCTCGCGCTTCGCGTAGGTCCGGAAGTCGTAGCCCACGCAGTGGATGACGTGCTTCGAGTTGGGCCAGCCGTACTTGTGGTAGAAGACGTCGCCCTCGCGTTCGATGCCGTTGACGACGTCAGCCGGGAAGCCCGCGTCGTCGCGGTAGCCGATGAACTCGTAGATCGCGCCCGACGCGCCGCCGGCGTCGGCGATGGCGCAGCCCTGCGTGCGCACGAAGCGCGCGCTGCAGGGGTCGACGATCATCGTGTGCTTGTCCGGCGCCGGCGCCGCCGCCTCCTCGCCGCCGCCGGCCATGCGCTTGCCCAGCACGCCGTAGTTGCGCACCACGACGGCCTTCATGAAGTCGTGGGCCGGGTCCGGCGGCTTGGAGGCGCAGGGGCCCATGGTTGGTGGTGTCTTGCGTGCGTTTGCGCGGTCACGATGCTGCCATGCGCATGCGCGGCAACGCCGGCACCATCGGCTCGTCGTCGAAGGTGCTCTCGCATGGCAGTGGCAAAATGAGCACCAGGCAGTGGCAAAAGTGAGCTCTCGGCAGTCGTGACGAAGATGGACCAGACAAACCAGGAGCTCGAGGAGGAGCGCGACTACGACGACGCGCCCCACATGCACGCGGGCACCGTGGCGCCGAAGCTGTCGCTGCGGGCCCACGACGGGAACCTCGCGCTGTCCCACGCGGACGCGCGCGCCGTCGTCGCCGACGACCCGCGCGCCCTCGTCGCCGACGTCCGGCGCGCGCTCTCCGGCGCCTGGCCCCTGCCCGCCGCGGCGCCGGACGACGCCGCGGGCGAGCGGCGCCTCTCCGCCGCGCGGGAGCAGCTCGGCGCCGCGGGCGACGCGGCGTCGCGGCGCGAGGCGCGGGCGTGGGCGAACCCCTACGAGCCGCTCGGCCGCGGGCCCTTCGTGTGCCGGAGCGCGCTCAAGCTCTGCGCGCTCGACGCCGCCTACGACTTGGTCAAAGGCGGCGGCGACGTGGTCGACGTCTGCGCGGCGCCGGGCGGCTGCGCCGAGTACGCGGCGTTCCGCGGCGCGGCGCGCGTCGTCGCGACGTCGCTCGCCGGGGCCAACGGAGACGGCGAGGGCGCGGCGTGGCGCGTCGGCGACCTCGGCGGCCGCGTCGAGCTCGTGCTGGGCCCCGACGGCAAAGGCGACGTCTACGACGCCGCGACGCGCGACGCCGTCGTCGCCGCGGCGACGCGAGCACGGCGGCCGACGCTCGTCGTCGCCGACGGCGGCTTCGACGCCGCGGACCACGCGCCGGACCAGGACGCGGCCGCGGGTCGCCTCTGCCGCTGCGAGTTCGCCGTCGCCGTCGCCGCGCTGGCCGTCGGCGGACACGTCGTTTTAAAGCTCTTCCTGCCGCTCCGGAGCACCTCGACGGCGGCGCTCGTCCACGCGGCGGGCCGCCTCTTCGCGACCGTCGCGCTCGCCAAGCCCGTGACGTCGCGCGCGACGAGCGGCGAGGTCTACCTGGTCGCGCTCGGGCCAGGGCAGGACAAGAGAGCGAAATTCCCAACTTCAAAGGCTCATATCTCGGCCATTTTCCACTCGTTTCGGCTGATTTTTGGACGAGCGATCATCTCTCGGAACGGTCTCGAAGCGTGGATGCTTTTTTCGGAACGCTCGCGCGTGGAACACTCACGTTGAAGCGACGTTGAATCACCCTTGTGCTGCCCAGGCTCGGGCTCCGGCCCGTCGACGACGCGACGCGGCGCGCCGTCACGGACGCGCTGGCGGCCGAGTTCGTGGTGCCCGTCGCGAGCGATCCCCCCGCGGCGTCCTGGACCGTCGTCGCGGCGTTTTTGGACGCCGCGCGGCGGCGGCTGGTGGAGGCGCAGGCGGACGCGTGCGAGACGATGCTGCGCCGCGCCGCGGGGCTCCCCTGCCTTCGCCCGCCCCCCTGCGACGTGCGCGCCTTCGAGGCGAGATGGCACCTCCCCGGCGGCGCGCTCGGCGGGAAGCGGCCGCGGCGGCCCTTCGTCGTCGGCGTCGTCGGTCCGAGCGGCGTCGGCAAGACGACGCTCGCCGCGGCGGTCGCGGCGCGCCTCGGCGCGGCGCACGTGAAGGAGGACCCCGCCTTTTTCTTGAAGTCCTGCCCGAAATCCTACGAGTACCGCGACCCGATCTCCGAATGTCCCGAGCACATCGATTGGGAGAAAACGGCCGCTCGCGCGGACGAGCTCCTCGCGGGCGCGCGGCTCGCCGTCGTCGAGCACTACCTGCTCCTCGCGCCGGGCAGGGAGCGCTTCCTCTTCGACCGCTGCGACTGCGTCCTCTTCCTCGACCCGGGCGTCGACGCCGACGGCGCCGCCGCGCGCGCGACGTGCCGCGAGCGCCGCGCGGGCCGAACCGCGGACCGGCCCGACGCCGAACTCGCGCACCTCCGGGCCTACTACGACGCCCACGTCTGGCCCGCCTTCGAGCGCTACACGCTCGCGCCCTTCCGGGCGCTCCCGGGCGAGTGCAAGGCGACGTTGGACGCGCGGCGGCCACCGGCCGCCGTTTTGGCGGACGCGCTCGCGGCCGTCGCGAAGTTCCGCGCGCGGTAATTCTGCTATACAAAGTGCCAGAGCCACAGCAGAATGCCGGCCCGGTGTCTTATCGAAAGACGCAAAGCGCCAGCGCGGCGAACCCGGCCTGGATCGCCGCCGCGGCGACGAAGTAGGCCGGCGCGCCCGCGCGCCGCGCGGCGAGGACCCACTGGAGCGCCGCGGCGACCGCGAGCGCGAGCGTCGTGTTGGCGCCGTAGATGAGCGCACAGCGCGCGCGCGGCGGCTCTGGCGCGTCGCTCGGGCGTTCGTCGTTGTCGTCGTCGCCTCGGAGCGGCGATACGACCGCGCCGTCCGCCTCCGCGGCCGGCGCGGCCGCGGCCGCGATGCCCGCGCAGGCCGCCGCGAACCCAAAGCCGAAGCAGACGTGGCGGCCGACGACGTTGGCGATGAGCAAAGAGGGCCGGCGGTGGCGCGCGAGGAGCGCCGAGAGCGCGTCGAGCGCGCCGACGGCCGCGGCGACCGCGGCGGGCAGCCGGGGCCGCCGCGGCGCCGACGGCGCGAGGGCCGCGCCGACGCACGACCCGAGGCCCGCGGCGCACTCGAGCACGCCGTAGAGCGCGCCCCGGTCGCCGCCGGACGCGTCCGCGAGGAGCTCCTGGGCGTAGTTCGCCGCGACGGCGTGGACGCCAACGGACGCGACCCACCAGGCGGACCAGGCGCGGCCGAGCGGGTCCCGGAGCGCCGCGCGCGCCGCGGCCGCGCTCCAGCGGTCGCCCTCGGGTGGCTCCGCGGGCCGCGGCGAGCACCAGACCAGCGACGCGGCGCCGAGCGTCGTGCTCGCCCACGACGCGTAGAACAGAGCGTCGCCGGAGGCGAGGGGCCGGCCGCCGAAGCCCCGCATGCACTGGCCCGCGAGCGAGCCGAGCGCGTCGCCGAGCTTGCACGCGGCCGTCGCGTACGCCGCCGCGGCCGCCGCGGCGCGCCGGGGCACGCAGGCGACGGCGTGGGCGACGTAGACGGCGTCGTGGGCCGCGATGGCGCCCGCGTAGGTCAGCTGCATGGCCGCCATCGCGGCGACGCCGCGCGCGTAGAGCAGCAGGACGCGCGTCGCCTCGCGGCAGGCCATGCCCAGCAGCAGCGCGCGCCGGTAGCCGACGCGCTCCGCGTACGCGGCCACGGGCAGCGTGAAGAGCAGGGCGCCGTAGGTATCGCAGGGCCACACGACGGCGTTGAGCGCGCGCGCGCTCACGCCCTTGCGGCGCAGGAGGTACCAGGTCAGGAAGGGCTCCGACGGCTGGAAGTTGACGAAGAAGCCCACGGACGCGAGGCGCGCGATGAGATGGCGCATGGGCCGCTTTTCCAGCATGCTCGCGTACGGGCTGGACGTGACCATGCTAGCTAACATCGGTGTGCATGGGCTGCAGTGTTTCGGAGAGCCATCGTGTTTTCAGGCGAAGGTGAACTTCAAGTCAACGAGCTCACGCGACGCGTAAAACACCCTTACTCGTCGGGGAGCGCGTCGAGCGTCGCGAGGGCGCCGATGGCGACGCGGCGCCGGCTCGGCGCCCGCCGGCCGAGCTCGTCGGCGTCGCCGCGCGCGAAGCGCTCGATCTTGTTGTAGGTCGAGTTCCGCGGCAGCTGGAGCTTCGCGCCGATGGACCGGCGGGGCGCGACGGGCGAGACGACGGGCGAGATGAGGCCCGGCGCCGTGGACGGCCGGCTCGGCGCGTCGCGGCGCGCCGTGGACGGCCGGCTCGAGGACCGCGAGTCGAAGGACGGGAACGAGCCGTCGTCGTCGGCCGGGAGCCGCGCGCCGAGTAGGTAGCGGCGCGGCGCCGGCGGCGAGAAGGGCTGGCTCGACGCCGCCGTGAGCTCCGAGAGCTGGGACCGGCCCGTGAGCGGCGGGCTCCGCGAGCTCGGCGGCGGCGACCAGGGCGGCGGCCGCTCCGGCGGCGGCGGCGGCGCGGCGAGCGCGTCCCGGACCCGGCGCCGCCGCGCCGCGCGGCTCCGGCCGCCGCCGGCGTCCGGCGCCCAGGCGCCGCCGTTGCGCGCGAACCAGGCCGCGGCGCCGAGCGCGTCGGGGAACTCGCGGCGGAAGACGCGGACGTCCGCCGTGTAGCCGCCTGTGCGGAAATCAACCGGTGAGCTGGGACGTTCCAAACTTCAGAATTCTCTCGCTCGGTCGGATCGACGTCGATTCGGCCGATTTTTGGACGAATCGATTGCTCTCCTCGAGTTCTCGAAGCACAACCGAAGATCCTGCGTCGAAACATTCGAATACGCGCACATTGAAGTCGGGTTGCAGATTTGATTCCGCGCGCGGGGAGCCGCCGAGCGTCTCGAGGAATTTCGTCATGAAAAAAATCTCCGGGTGGTGGAGCTTCATCTCGATGCGCGGCATCATCTCCGCGTAGGCCACGGGCGCCCCGAGCACGGCGCCGAGGAGTTTCGCGAGCTCGGGCCCGGCGTGCTCGCACGTCGCCACGTCCAGCGTCAGGCCCGCGAAGCGGTCGCGGTTTTCGAGCGCGGCCGCCGCCGCTTTCCCGAAGTCGAGGAGCGACGTCCACTGCACGGCCGTCTCCGCCTTGGTCACGTAGCGGAGATAGCGCGGCCGCCCCGCCGCATCCGGCACGACCTCTAAATCGTCGAGGAGCGCCGCCTTGCGGACGACGGCGACGTCGACGTCGCCGAGGAGCCGCTTCTCGAGCCGCCTCTCGACGGCGCGGTCCGCGCGGAAGTGCGCGACGCGGCGCGGCGCGCGGTCGCAGTCGCAGGACGAGCCGTAGACGACGTAGTCCACCGTCGGCGACTGCTCGCAGGCCTCGACGACGGCCGCGCCGCGCGCGCGCGCGCGGTCCACGGTCCCGCTCCCTCTCGCGAAGTAGTCCGTGGAGAAGAAGACGCGCTCGGCGCCGACGCGCTCGAGGGCCGCCGCGACGCTCGCGGGGCTGCCCGCGTGCGCGCGGACCACGGCGACGCCCAGGTCGCCGAGCGCGTGCGCCGCCTCGCTCCGCAGGTGGCGCGCCGCGGCGGCGACGGCGTCGCAGGCCACGCCCCGCCGCAGCAGCCCCTCGACGACGGCCCGGCCCTCGCGGCCGTCGGCGCCGAAGACGAGGTACCTCATGCCTCGACGCGGCGCGGGCAAGCCATGTCGTCGCCGGCGTTGCTGCCCCGGAACGTCCTTCTCAGGGAGAGCGCTCGGTCGTAGCTGCATTCATGCAGTTAAAAAAGGGAGTATCATTTCTCGGTGAGTGCACTCTGTAAAGTTGATCTTGTCCTGCTTGGCTCCGGATGGTTTACCCAATGTTGACCCATTCTCCGCGGCCCTCGACGCGTGGTCGAGCTGCTGCTGGAGCCCGATAGCGCTGTCGCGCCGGTTGTTTGCGCTGAAAAGAAGGGACTCGCGGAGAGCCGCTGCCAGCTTGGCAGTATGGCCGAGGCCTTCCGCGGGCTGTCGTCGTCGTCGGAGAGCGAGGACGAGGACGGCGGGTTCCTGCGTACCTACGCCGACGAGCGCGCGTCGAAGCGGCGGCGCATGGCCGCGGCCGTCGAGGCGGCGCAGGAAAGCGGCGGCGGCGAGTACGACGCCGCGGCGGCCGCGGCGGCGGACGCGGCCTTCGAGGGCGTCGAGCTGCCGAGCGACGTCGAGGCGGCGCTCGCCGTGCTGCGGCCGCGCCTGCCGCCGCGGCTCGTGCTCGCGCACCACCTGCCCGGCGTCGTCGAGCGCCGCGGCGACTGCGAGCGCGAGCTGCGGGACCTCGCGGCGCGGCGCAAGGTCAAGTACCTCCAGCTCCCGACGGCGGGCTCCGACGTCGCCGTCGTCGACGCCGGCGAGTACGCCGCGGCGCTCGCGGGGCGGCCGGCGTTCCTCGAGTTCGCGATGGCGCGCGCGGGTCGGCTCTACGCGACGGAGGCCGAGCTCCGCGAGTCGGGAATCCTCGCCCCCGGCGAGGCCGCGGCGCCCCCCGCCGCGGGCCGGCGACGGGAGGACGCGGAGCGCGCGGCGCTCGACGAGCTCCGCGCCGCGGGTCTGCTCCGGCCGCGGCGCGACGCGCCGGGCGTCGCGGCGTGGTGGTTCGCGATGCCCCGCTGCGGCGCCTTCGCCGCGGCGACGCTCGCGGGCCGCCGCAAGCTCCAGCTCGCGCTCAAGCGCTCCAAGTACAAGGAGCTCAACGTCGACAAGCCCGTCGCGGCCCTCAAAAAGGCGTGCCCCCTCGGCCAGGAGTTCCACGTCCGGGACCTCGTCGGCCGCGGCGACGCGGAGCTCGTCCGCCGCCCCGCGGGGCGCTTCCTGCGGTCCCGGCGGGATTTCGACGACTAGGGATTAGCGCCCGTGGTGGCGCTTCGCGCCGTCGACGACGTCGGCCGTGACGACCGCGAGGCCGCGCGCCGCGGCGAACTCGTCGGTCTTCGCGCGGACGTAGGAGCGGACGAACCAGGGCACGCGGGCGAGCTTGGCCTCGGCGCCGGCGTCCCAGGCGATCGAGGAGGCCGGCTCTTTCTGGGGCTGCGCCGAGCCGACGTCGACGACGACGTAGAAGGTGCGCGCCGCGTCGCGCGCCCAAAAGCCCGGCGGCCGCACGACGGCCGGGTCCGCGCGATTCGCGGGCGGATGGCGCCGCCACCAGAGGTCGAGGCCGCGGCGCCGGCGGCCGAGCTCGTAGCACCTGCCCTTGCCGCAGCCGCGGCGCCGGAGCCACCGCAGGGGGCGGTCCACGCCCCAGCGGAAGGCCGAGAAGACCTTGGTCCCCCGCTTCTTCGCGTTGCTCAGCGCGCCGGTGGAGATCAGAGAGGAGAGAAACCTGGACCTTGGGGGCGCGGTCCGCGCGATCGCCTCCACGATCTGCGACACGTCGGCCTCGTCGAGGTAGTAGAGTAAGCCCTCGGCGACGTAGAACGTCGGTACGTCGCTCCGGTAGCCGGGCGCCGCCGCGAGCGCGTCCGCCCAGGCCGGGTCCGTGAGGTCGCAGGCGACGTGAGCTAATGATCCGCAGCGCAGCGGCGCGGTCCTGGGCAGTTTCGCGAGCTTGCCCCGGATCACCCGCCGCGCGTCGAGCGCGAAGACCGAGCACCCGGACCCGAGGCGGAGCCGCTGCGCGCGCGTGTCGAGGCCCGCGCCGAGCAGCACGAGCTGGCAGCGCGCGTGCCGCTCGCAGAACTCGACGATCAGCTCGTCGAAGAAGCGCGTGCGGATCGCCAGCCTCCCGAGCGACGCCGCGTCGACGGTTCGCAGCCGCGCCGACACCGCGTCCTCGCCGCCGACGAAGGAGGCCGCCCAGGGGTCGTCGACGAACCACGGGTCGAGGCGCGTCACGAGCGCGCGCGTCCAGGCGATGTAGCGGCTCGTGTCGCCGAGGAACCTGCTGTCGTACCGCCGGCCGCCGGCGCTGTCGGCGCTGCGGCAGAGGCAGAACGCCGCTGCCGTCGTCGCGAGGCGTTTCAGCATGAGATGGCTGCTGCGTTGCTGCGATATTGTGCGCAGGCGATAGCACCGCGCTTCGTAGACCCGAGCAGGCGATTGCACCTTTTTTTTTTGACGCGATCAAACACCCATTGCGCCGACTCGACAGCTTCAACGCAGAAGAAACATCGGCTCGTTGAGCTCTTGGATCACGGCCGAGGCCGGGAGATGGCCGGGCGCATGACATTGTGCCTCTGAGTTCGTCCGACCAGCGACGCCCGACACCGCGACCGACGCCGACGTACCCACACGGACGACGCGACCGACGCCGACGCGCCGACGACCCATGTGCGGCCGCGCCGGCCTCACGGTGCCCCCGGACCAAGTGGCCGGCGCCGTGCGCAGCGCCGGCTGCGCTGTGCCGGCCACGGCGAAGCCCGCCGCGTACCGCACCTCGAGTGCCAAGAAGGCCGACGCGGACAGCTTCCCATGTGTTGTCGCGGCGCCCGGCGGCGTCGACCTCGCGACGCTCGGCTTCGGCGTGAAGAAGCTCCGGTGCCACAACGCCTTCGTCGAGGGCTGGCTCGACCGGAAGACGTGGCGCGAGGCCGCGGCGACGCCGCGCGGCCGCTGCTCCATGGTCGTCACGTCCTTCGTCGAGGGCATCACGGCGCGGCGACCCGACGACGCCGTCTTCTTCATCCTGGGGCTCCGCGTGGGCGACGAGTTCGTGATCCTGACGACCGCGGCGAAGCGCTCCGCGCTCCTCGGCGAGCGCGCGCGGGCCAAGGAGGGATGGGGCGCCGGCCGCTACCCCATCGTCGCCGACGGCGCGCGCGCGGCGGCCTGGGCGACCGCCGACGGGCCCGAGGCCGCGCACCGCCTCGTCGCGGAGCTCGACGCCTCCACGCTCAGCAACGAGCTCGGCCTCGTCCTCGGCGCGAACCGCAAGCGGTCGCTGCCCTCGCCGGGGCAGAAGACGCTCGGGACCTTCTTCGGCTCGCCGGCCAAGAAGGAGAAGCGCGCCGGCGACGACGCGGGTCGCCGGCTCGGCGGCTCCCCGCGCGAGGACGACGACGCGGGCCGCCGGCTCGGCGGGTCGCCGCGCGAGGACGGCCGCGCCGAGCGCCTCGCCGCGGCGGAGCGGCGCGCGTCGTCCGGCGCCGCGTCGTCCGGCGGCGAGGCGTCATCCGCCTCCGCCGCGTCGTCGTCCGACTCGGTCGCGTGCCCGCGGTGCACCCTACTCAACGCCGCGGGCGCGGCGACGTGCCTCGCGTGCGACGGCCCCCTGCCCGCGCGCGCGCCCCAAGGCGGCGTCATCGACCTCACGTAAGAGCCTCCCCGACCTGAGGAGATCACGCTCCTGCGGCGCTCTCTCGAGCTTCGGCGGAAGATGCCTTTATCGATCGGATGATTTACACTACTATGTCGCGCGGCCCGGGCCCTCGCGCTTTGGCAAAAAACGCGAGGGGGCGGACCGCGGAGGGGGATGGGGCGTCGCTCCGCGGCGGGCGGCTCACTCGACGCGGTCGTCGCCGATGTACCAGTCGCCGGCCGGCGGCGCCGGGTCCTTCGCCGGGAAGAGGTAGGCGCAGGCCGACTCGTAGGCCGACGTCGCGTAGGCCTCGAGGTCCGCGGCGAGGCTCGGCGCGTCCTCGAGGGTCGCGACGTCGTAGGTCGTGAGCATGCGGCTCGACGCGATGGAGAGGCGCCGGCGCCGCGCGACCTCGCCGCGCGCGAACGCGTCGTAGTCCGAGCGGTGCCACCAGCACGACGACGCGTCGCGCGCGTCGACGCGGGGGATCTCGAGGGCCGAGATCGCGCGGTCGAAGGACACGGCCTTCTTCCGCAGGGGGGGCGCGCTCCCGCCGACGGCCGGGAGCGCCGCCGCGGCCGCGACCCCCGGGAGCGAGGCCTTCCGGGCGTCGCCGACGACGCGGTCGAGGTACGACTCGTGCTCCGCGAGGACGAAGCGCTCGTCGAGGGCGAAGCGGTAGACGGACCGCGGGCTCGCCCCCTGCTGCTTCAAGTGCCGCGCCTGGGGTCGCGGGGGCGTCGCGCACGTGCGGCCGCCGAGCTTGCCCGTCGACGCCGGCCGCCGGCGCCCGAGGCCGCGCGGCGGCGCTCTCCGGAAGCCCAGGAGGGGGCCCGCCGTCGTCGGGGACGGCGTCCGCACCCGCGGCGCCACGGAGAAGAGCGGGGGGGAGGCCACCGTCGCCGCCATCGGCGAACCGAATCAAGGTCTTTCGCTCGGCGGTCCGAGTTTTTTTGACACCCGCCGTCGGCCGGAGGCCGGGGGGTTGCGACGCGTTAGCGTCAGATCAAGGGCGACACTTCTAGATGGTAGTGGCGATGTAAACGCGCCGACTGTTCACGGTCTTCGCCGCCACGAGTGCTGTTTCTTTCGTTTCGACGGTGTCTCAAATGTGGGATCTCGTGCCGGCCACGCTGGTTGTCAACAAACGCCTCAACAAGGGTACGCAACAGTACCTCGAGGCCGACGACCGCCTCGGCCTCCTACACGTGTGTTTCTATTTTCCCCGACGTTTCTATTTTTTTCGACGGTCGAGATCCACGAGGTGGGATCCTCTCATTGCCCGCCACGTGGGGCGTCAACAAGGGTACCTCGAGGCTACGAGCGCCTACACCCACAAAACACCGACGCTCTGCTTATGGTCGCTTGGGGGAGGGAGGGGGGGGAGCCGGCTAGAGCGCGGCCGGCGCTTGGGGCGGCCGCTCGCGGTCGAGGAGCGCCGCGGGCGCGTCCTCCGCGACCGGCGGCGGGAGGTCCTGGTCGATGGCCTGCTGGACGCAGGCGCAGACGGCGAGGAGGCTGCCCGGCGTGTGCTGGCAGTGGAGCGCGCCGCCGGCCGCGCCCGGGAGCGCGAGGCCGCGGTCCGCGAGCGCGCGGATAGCGCGGTCCGCGAGGCGCGGCGCGGCCGCGCCGAGGCCCGGCTCGATGGCGAGCGTGAGGAGGGCGCCCGGGCCCGGCCGCGCGAGGCGGCCCGCGCCGTAGGCCGGGTAGCCGCGCCGCGCGGCGAAGGCGAGCCGGAGCGTCGCGCCGACCGACACCGACCGCGCGTCGACGGCGACCGCGCAGGCCGAGCTCGACCAGGCCGGCGGCGCCATGGCGCAGGTCGCCTGGAGGGCGAAGAGCTCCTTGCCGAGGCGCTGGAGCTTGGCCGCGCCGAGGGTCGCGCGCGCGAGCTCGGAGACGAGAGCTTTCTGGCCCCCCTTCTCGGCCACGGCGACCTCGAAGACGGCGCCGTCGACGGCGTGGGCCGCCGGGTGGAGCCAGACGTGGGGCGCGGCGAAGAGCGCCGACGCGCAGGCGTCGTCGGGCGCCGCGCCGAACTTGGCGCGGACGTTCGCGAGCGCGGCGTCCGCGGGCGCTTCCCCTACGCCGCGCCGGCACAGGAGCCGCCGGTCGCCCTTGGCCTGGAGCACGTGGAACGTCGCCCAGGTGCCGTAGAGCGCGTGGGGCAGCGCGAGCACGGCCTCGTCCGCGCCGACCTTGGCCGCGGTCCAGCCGTGGAGCCCCGCGGCGAGTCGCTCGCGGTACTTCGCGTCCGCGTCGTCCTTCGGCGGCGCGACGACGAGCGCGCCCGGCGGCGCGGCGCGGAGCTCGTCGCGGCGGCGCTCGAGGGCGGCGACGCGGTCGACGAGCGCGCGGCACCGGCCCTCGGCCGCGGCGTCGCCTCGTGGTCCCGCAGCGCGGCGGCGCCGTCCTGGACCGCGTCGGCCTCGGCGGCGAGCGTCTTGGCCGCCTTGCGCAGGTCCGCGGCGAGCGCGCGGCGGCCCGCGGCGGCGCGCGCGGCGAGCGCGGCGCGCGCGTCGGCCGCGGCCGCCGCGACGACGTCGCGCGCGACGCCGGGCGCCGTCGCGAGGGCGTGGGCCGCGGCGGCGCCGCCGGCCATGAGCGCCTCGAGCCCCCGCTCGCGCGCGGCGGCCGCGTCGCGCGACGCGGCCGCGGCGGCCGCGCGGCACGCGCGCGCCTCGCGCGCGGCGGCCGCCGCGGCCGCGCGCGGCGGCGCGGCGCCGCCGAGGCCGCCGCCGGCGAGGGTCGGCACGCCCGTCGACGCCGCGAGCGTGAGGGCGACGTCGTCGAGGCCTAGGGCCTCGAGGAGCGCGCGCGGCGGCGCGTCCGAATCGTCGACCATGGAAGAGGAGCTCGAGGACGCGCGCGCGGGCGCGCCGCCCGACGCCTCCAGCAGCTCGCCGAGGCTCGCCTCGAGCTGGACCGTGGCGTCCGCCGGCGGCGCGCCGGGCGACAGGTCCAGGAGCTCGCCGAGGTGCGCCTCGAGCGCGACGGTGCGGTCCGCGTCCGGCGCGGCAACGTCGTCGCCGCCGTCGGGCGACTCGAAGTTGGCGCCGAACTTGGGCGCCGCCGTCGAGGGCGCGCTCTCCGGCGACTGGGCCTCGCCCTCCTCGCCGATGGGGCTCAGCTCGTTGGGCGCGCCGCGGCCGAAGTCCGCCGTCAGCGCGCCCGTGAGCTCCATGGCCCGTTCGCGGTCGTCGTCGTCGTCGTCGTCGCTCGTCGAGGACGTCGAGTCGTCCTCGACGCGCGAGAAGCGGCCCGACGCGCGCCGCGGCGACGACGACAGGTCCGGCCGCCGCGAGCCGCCGTGGTCGATCGTCCACCGCGCGAGCGCCGCCGAGTTCTCGAGCGTCTTGCGCCGGTCCTCGCCGCCGCCGGCGTCCGCCGCGGCGGCGGCGCCGCCGGGGTCCGACGCGCGGCGGCCGTCGGCCTCGCGCGTGCGCTCCGTGCCGCCGGGCGTCAGCGCCGACGGCGGGTCGTCGCCGCGGAACGTCGTCACTCGCGACTCGGCGTTGAACGTGACGCCGCCGGGCGACGCCGCGGTCCTGGGCCGGCGCTTCTTCGACGAGCTCAGGCAGCTCTTGAGCTGCGCCGACCCCTTGGGCGGCGGGCTCAGCGACGGCGGCGACCGCGGCGCCAGCGCCGCGCGCTCGAGCTCGAGCGCGGCCTCGGCGGCGGCGACGACGTCGAGCGCCGACGGCTCCGCCGGCGCCGGCGGCGCGCCGCTCGGCAGGAGCTGGTGCTCCTGGGGCAGGCTCCGCCGGCCGTGGCCCAGCGTCGGCGGCACGTGCGTCGCCGCGGAGACGAACTCGAGGCCCGTCCGCGCGCGGCCCGGCGACGCGCCGCCGTCGCCCAGCAGGCCCGCGCCGCCGAGGAGCTCCGGCGGCGTCGCCAGCAGCTCCTCGTAGGCCGCCGCGCCCGTGCCCCGCAGGCCCAACGCCGCGTTCGCCGCGCCGAGCGCCGCGACGGCGCAGCTCGCCGCGGCCGCCGCCGCGCGCTCCGCGCGGCCCGGCGGCGGCGCCGTCGCGTCCGCGACGAGGTGCTCGAGGCCCCGCAGCTCCTCCGTCGCCACGGTCTCGCCGCCCTCGCTCGGCGCCAGGGACCCGAGGAGCCGCCGCGCGTCGGACGCCGTCGCGTCCGAGCCCCGCGACGACCGGATCGCGCTCCGCGCGGCCTCGTCGAGCGCGTCGCCCGCGATGAGCCGCTCGAGCTGGTCCAGCGACGAGCCCTCGACGGTCTGCCGCCGGCCCGACGGCGTGCCGGCGTCGCCCCCGCCCACGAAGGCCTCGAGGGCCTGGGCGGCGCTCGGGGACAAAGTCTCGCGCGACGGCTCGATCGTGCCGCGGCGCGCCGACGACGTGCGACGCTTCCGCGAGCCGTCCGCCGCGCCGGGCGTCACGTTCTCCCGCAGGGGGCGCTTGGCGGCGCTGTTCTTGCGCTCCGACATGGTCGAGGACAAAGTTCTCTGGGGCAACTGCCGCGCTCAATGCAATGCCATTGCGAACTGCGGCTCAAACGGCAAGGTTGGCGTAAACCTACCCCGGCCAACGGACGCGGCAACATTAGTCCCGATGCGCCCGCCGCCGCAGCGAGGGCAGGAGCGCGGGCAGGCCGCGCGTCGCGCGGGCGTAGTCCGGGCGGCGCGCGAGGGAGCGTTGGTCCATGAGGGGGACGGACGCGAGGCGGAAGAAGAGGCACATGGCCGCGGGCCCCGCGGCGAGCGCCGGCGTGAGCCGGTCGGCCGCGAGCGCGAAGAGGGACAGCGACGCCCAGAACAGACACTCGCCGCAGTAGTTCGGGTGCCGCGACCGGCCCCAGAGGCCCGCGACGCACGTCGCCGTCTTTCCGGACGCGCGGTGCCGCCGGAGCGTCTCGTCCGCGGCCGCCTCGAGCGCGAGCGACGCGACGACGCAGGCGAGCGCGACCGCGTCGAGCCGATTCAGCGGCGGCGCGTCCGAGCCGGCCAGGACGACGCGCGCCGCCGGCGCGAGCGCGCCGTAGACGAGGAGCGTCGGCGTGAGGTGGAGGCTCGCCAGCGAGAAGCCCCAGTGGAGCCGCGGCCGAGCTTCGCCCGCAGGTCCTGGTAGCGCCAGTCCTCGGTCGCGAGCCCGACCGTCCACCCCTCCCAGGGCACGAACAAGAAGAAGCGCCAGGCCCAGGCCCAGACGCAGCAGAGCACCATCGTCTCCCGGGGCTCGTAGAACCAGAAGCCGCCGGGCGCCTCGGCCTTCCAGTAGAAGAGGAGCCAGAGCGGCAGCACGCACCAGTACGGGTCGTAGACCGAGCTGTTGTCCGCGCGGAGGCTGAACCTGGGCAGGAAAAGGGTGCGAAATTCCCAACTTCAAAGGCTCCTATCTCGGTCGTTTTCCGCTCGTTTCGGCTGATTTTTGGACGAGCGATCATCTCTCGGAGCGCTCTCGAAGCTTGAGTGCTGTTTCCGAAACGCGCGCGCGCGGAACACTCACGTTGAAGCGACGTTGAATCACCCTTTTCCTGCCCTGGCTGAACCCGTAGACGACGACGGTCGCCGCGGCGTCGAGCGCGAGCCCGCGCACCAGCGGCGCGTCGGCCCAGCCGTCGGGCCACGGCGCGGCGGCCGCGAGGACCGTGGCGGCCGCGAGCGCGGTCGCGTAGGCCGCGCGGCACGCCGCCGCCGACACGCGGCGCTCCGGCGCCTCGCCGGTTCGCTGATACAGCCCGTCGCGCGAGCGGAAGCTCGCGCGCAGGCGCTCCATGTCGCGCAGGTCCGCCATGCGCCGCCGTCGACGGCGCGGAGAAGCCGCGGAGCGCTGCGGCAGCGGCGTCGAGCTGCGGCAGCAGTCGGTGCCGCCGCAGATCTGTTGTGGCAGATCGCGGCACTCCGAACCGCAGCCGAAACTTTGAACCCATTGTGTTTCGGCCGCAGCCCCGAATCCCTCACCATCTCGCTCGTCGACTCGTCGCGGAGCATGTTCGAGGACTCGGAGCCCATGGACGACGCTCCCATGGACGACGCTCCCATGGACGACGCGCCCGCGGCGCCCGTCGAGGACTCGGAGCCGTCGGCGGAGCCGGCGTCGCCGCCGCCGGCGGACGTCGGCGAAGGCGCCGGCGAGGCGCCCGCGGCGGCGCCGCCGGCCCGCGAGGCGTCCCCCGCGGCGGCCCGCGGCGCGGCCGCGACGCCCGAGGACGTCGACGCGACGGCCGAGGACGCCGACGCGCCGGCCGCGGACGTCGACGCGCCGGCCGCGGCCGCGGCCGGCGCCGTCGCGGCGGCCGTCGACGGCTCGCTGCTCGCGCCCCAGGTCGACGCGACGGCCTTCGCGGCCCTCGCCGCCGAGGTGCACCAGCGCATCGACGCCGTCGAGAGCCGCCTCGACCGGACGCTCAGCGACGACGGCGCCGCGCTCCGCGTGTGGCTGCAAATGGCCGTCGACGCGCAGCTCGGCCGCCTCGCGGCCATCGAGCGGGGCCTCGGCGCGCTCACGAGCCGCGTGTCGGCCCTCGAGCAGGCCGTGCGGCCCGCGGGCCGCCCGCCGGCCGAGGCCATGCCCGCGCCCTCGGCGCTCGAGGACGGCGGCCTCGCGTACCGCAACGTCCGCGGCGACGAGCGGCCGCCGAAGAAGGCGCGGCCCAACGGCGAAGTGGCGCGGCCCGTGCTGCCGGCGACGGCGCAGCTCGCGCGGCGCGAGCTCCTCGGCGACCGGTCGCCGCCGCCGCCGCCGGCCGCGCCGGAGCCCGCGGCGCCGCCGCCGCGGAGCCCGCGGAGCCGCCGCGTCGACGAGGACGACGAGTGGTCCCTCGACGACGGCTCCTTCGAGTACGTGGGCCAGCGCGTCGCGCGCGACTTCGGCGGCCGCGTCGTCCTCGGCCGCGTCACGGGCTACCTCGACCAGATCGACGGGCGCGGCGCCCCGCGTCCCCCCCCGCGTTCCGCCGCCTCTGACATCATTCTCATAGGCCCATGCTCTGGCACGCGACGCACGACGACGGCGACTCCGAGGACTTCGAGCACGACGAGGTCGTCGCGGCGCTCCGGTCCTACGCGGAGCACGCGGCGCGCGAGAGCCGGCGCGAGCAGCACGCGCTCTTCGAGCGGGCCGTGAGCGACCCGCGGCGGTCGCCGGACCCGCCGCCGCGCGTGCCCGCGCTCCTGGGCCAGCCGTCGAAGAACGCGCCCGCGGCGGCGGCCGTCGCGTGGGCGTCGACGGAGCGCGCGCACGGCGCGCGGAGCCGCGTGCTCCTGCTCGAGCGCCTGCGCTGCCACACGAAGCAGCGCGTGCACACGTCCTTCTTCTTCGAGCTGCCCGTGGACACGGGCCGCTACCGCGACTACGAGCGCAAGGTCCGGTCGCCGCCGATCTGCCTCCGCGACATCG